AACAAACTTCAGTGACTCTCCATGGCTTTCAGGATTAAATGTAAAATCCTCTGCTGGGCGTTTGGCAAAGTCTTTCGTGACTTGCCGCTCCTCCCTTAGCAGTATTCTTACACTTTACTCCCCTCCATGTTCTCTTAGATGCTGTGACTCTGGCCATCTCTCAACTCCAGACATTTTCTGTGCCTGTCCCATGTGCCTGGAATACTCTTCCCTCCTCATCTCTTCCCCAGGCTTCCCTGACTTCCTTCAAGTCCCAGCTAAAATCCCACCTTCTATGAGAAGCCTTTCCTGATTCCTGTAAATGCCTAGTGTTTTCTTTCTGTTGATTGGCTCCACTTTATCCTGTCTACAGCTTTGTATAGAGTTTGTTTTTGCAGGTTGTCTCCTCCATTAGACTATGAACTCCCTGGAGGCAGGGACCGGTGTTTGCCTTTCTTTGTATCCCTAGTGCTTAGCACACTGCCTGGAACATAGTAGGTACCAAATAAATCTTTATTTCCTCCCTTCTTTAAGGTATTGCAGATTAAAAAGTAAACAAAGATCTTTGCCAAGACCCTCAACAAGATTTGATTATAAGACAGTGAGACAAACTGTTGAACAGTCAGGTCATGATTTATATCTGTCCCCACAGTGAGTCTTGTCCCCTTCATAACTGGCCACCTTGGAACCTGGCCATTACTCCAGTGATGACACCAATGGTTAACAGTTTTGAGGCCCACTTTGCAGAGAAGAGCTTTCTGCTTTTGAGTTCTCTGAAAATCACACGAGACAATTGTTTTACATTTAATCTGTGCTGACAAACTCAACTGGAATGAATGATTGACAGTTTCATGTCCAGTTGTCTTTTGTGTTCTTCTCTGTATCCTGAAAGGTTTCTGTCTGCTAATGATTATTAAGTTCATAATAATAAAACCATTAAAAAATCAAATGGACTGCATAGAGAGGAAGTGAATGCCCCTCATTAAAGATCTTTTGGGGGTGTGTTGTATGGAAAATAAACAGTCTTGTGCTCCTCAGGTCCAGGCTGGACTGGATGGTCTCCAAGGCCCCTTCCAGGGCTGAGATTCTCTAACCCTCTCTGGAAATGGCCTTAGTGCCCAGTATGGCTCAGTTTTCATCCCCAGTAGAATGTTGGCTTCCTGAGGGTAAGGAAGGATAGTTGGGCATTTTGTCTTTGTCTCTAACACCTAGCATGTACTGTTGTGTCATTTCAGTCATGTCTGACTATTTATGACCCCTTTGGGGTTTTCTTGGCAGAGGTACTTGAGTGGTTTGCCATTTCCTTCCATCTCATTTTACAGATCAGGAAACTGAGGCAAACAGGGTTAAGTGACTTGTCCAGGGTGTCACACAGCTAAGAAGTATCTGAGGCCAGATTTAAACTCAGGTCTTCCTGACTCCAGGCCTGGCACTCTATCCACTGCCACCTAGCTATGCCTAACACCGGACATAGCGCCTGGTTTATCAGAGGCTGGAAGGGACCTTACCCCTTAACACGCAGATGAGAAACCCCTTAACATGCAGATGAGAAATCTGAGGCATAGAGAAGTTAGGTGACTTACCTAGGGCAACCCAGATTTTTCTGCCTCCAAGCCCAGCCTTTTCACCAGTGAATGCAGTACAGATGTTAATGAATCCTTATTGAATTGAATCAAACATGCTACCTCCCAGTTTGCTTGCCCACCTTCTGTAATTCACTTATCTCTGAATGACATTTGACTGTTCCCAAAATGAAACCTACCCCATGGGAAACATTTCAGAAAATGCTTTGAAAGCAGTTCCTGAGGGGGAAAAAAAAACTGAGCGTCAGTGAGGTGTGTGTGTGTGAGTGTGCACGCGCGCAACCTCTCAAGGAGATTGCCTTGGAGGGGATCCTTCCCAAGGCTTGTACATATAGAGCTCAAGGGGGCCTTTGGGATCATCTCATCTTACTCATTTGTCATTTTACCCATGGGGGAAACTGGGGCTAGGAGGTCACATGACTTGCCCAAGGTCACACAAGTAGTAAGTAGCAAAGCCAGGATTTGAACCCAGGACCTCTGACTCCAAACCCAGGGTTTGTTTCAACACCTCTTTTTTTGAATGTTCCACATGAGTTGTGATGTTTGTTAAATCAGTCACTTTCCTTTAGTCACTCATCAAACTGGCTTAAGTTGTTAGTTAGTTTTTCCTGTAGCTTTTGCGTGGTTGATATGAGTCAACGGTACGAACCTGCTTTGCACAGCCTGCCAGTGTCTAAGGCTGTATTCAGGGTGGGCATGTCACATCAGGAGTATTTGGGTCTGTTCTGGGCGCCATGGTCGAGGGATGGCCAGACCCGGAGGCTGTGCCCCTGAATGTGAGGATGTTTGGCCTGGAAAACAGGGGGCCCTGCTGGCTGTCCTCAAGGATCCCAGGGCCATGGTGTGGAGGATTAGATCACTCTGCTGGGCCCCTGTTGCTGGAGGGTGCAAAGGGGCAGATTTCACTTTGGTGTTCCAGTCTTGTTAGGCCTTCTTCTTTTACTCTGTGTACTCTGCGGTTGCTGTTCTTTGTATGTGACTTTCCATGTGCCTTTCACGGGCTGTCCTCCATGCCTGGAATGCTCTCCCATCTCCTCTCAGCCGCCTCCTGGTTTCCTTCAAAAAGTGGCTCAGGTCCTACCTTGCTCAAGAAGCCAACCCTCACACCCCGGGTCCTTCCCTCTGATATCACTTCCGTTTCATCCCGTCTGCTTTTTGTATGAAGTTAGCTGTCTGTGTGTTCTCTCCCCTCCTTAGACTACGAGCTCCTGGAGAGCTTTGTTTCCCCAGAGCTTTCTATCCACTGGGTCACCTAGCTGCCCCCAGCACTGGGCACAGGGCCTGGTTTATCAGAGCCTGGAAGGGGCCTTCGAGGTCATTGAGTCCAACCCCCTTAACGTGTGGATGAGAAAACTAAGGCATAGAGTAGTTAGGTGACTTAGCTTTGTATCTTTGTATCCCAAGAGCTTAGCCCGTTGCCCAGTATTGGTTATTTTGTTCAGTCATGTCTGACTCTTCATTACCCCTGTGGATGCCAGTATTGCCCATGCATGGGGTTTTCTTGGCAAAGATACTAGAATGGTTTGGTATTTCCTTCTCTAGTGGGTTAAGGCAAACAGGGTTAAATGACTTGCTCAGGGTCACACAGGTAGTAAGTGTCTGAGGTCAAATTTGAACTCAAGTCTTCCTGATTCCAGACCCAGTGCTCTATCTGCCGAGCCACCTAGCTGCCTACCCAGCACATAGTATGTGCTTAATAAGTGTGTGTTGATTGGCTTGATATCAGGGAAAACATTCTCTCAGTGAAAAGAATGAACTGTTCTGAGAGGTGGTGAGCTCCCCCATCGAGATACTGGAGTTCTTTCAGCCCACCTTGAGAAAGACCCCTTTGTTGAATGTGATGGGGAGTGAGGAGACTTGTTCAATTCTGGGTTGTTCTTGAGCCCCTGAGGCTCCTTTCAGCTCAGAGATCCCATGACTAGTTTATCTTCCTCCTCTGAACTCCTACTCTCGTGACTCTGTCTCTACCCTTCATTTGGCAATCTCTCCTGCATTGGTGACATCTCTCCCATTATTGTTAGGAACTGGTATTTATTTAAACCTCATTCGATGTCAGTCTCCTTTCACCTGTTTGCCTTTGGTTGATCTCCCACACTGGCACTGCAGGCTCCCAGAGGGGGAGGGCCCCGGGTTTCTGCCTTCTCCTAACTTCCAAGGCTTTAGCCCAACACAGTAGGTGCTATCGCAGGTCAATCTGCCTGCCTTCTAAGAAAGATGCACACTCCCTCCCGTTCCAAATACTGTGATTCTATGACCTCTCCCCGAAGAACTCTACCCAGAAGCTGCTAGGTTATTCAGGTTCCTATCTGATTTTTGGATACAGGCACCCAAAGAGGCTTTTTGTGTAACTGCCCAAAATAAAGAAGCAAATGAGCATGTTGGCTGAATCCCCTTGCATGGCCCATGCCAACCAGGAGGTGTTCCAAGTGGTGTTCACAGGAGAGGAGGAGGCGGTGTCAGGGACAAGAGAGTAGGGGAGGGAAGGGGTGGAGGATGGTGGTCTCTGGTGGCAACAGGAGCTGTTTTGGAGAATACTAATGAGCCATAACAATAACGGGCTTTCTCCAGCCCTTTAAAGTTTTCAAAAGGTTTAACAGGCTTTCTTTACACGAGCCTCTCAAAAGCCCTGTGAGGTAAGCACTTAGATACAGGGGTGGGGAACCTGTGGGCCTTGAGGCTACACGTGGCCTTCTAGGTCCTCAAGGGCAGCCCTTTGACTGAATCCAAACTTCACAGAACAAGTCCCTTTCATAAAAGAATTTGTTCTGTAAAACTTGGACTCAATCAAAAGGCGGAACCCGAGGACCTAGAAGGCCACATGAGGGCTCGAAGCCCCAGATTTCTCACCCCTGGCTTAGTGGCTGGAGTGCTGGGCCTCAGGCATTTGGACAGAGTAGTAGCTGAAGGGCTTAACTTGGAGTCAGAAAACCTTAATTTTTAATCTTACCTCTGATACTGACTATATCTGTGTGACCTTAAGCAAATCACTGGATTTCTCTCAGCCTCAGTTTCCTCATCTGTAAAATGGAGATAGCATCTTCCTCACAGGATTATTGTGAGGCTCAAATAAAGTTTCATGTGTGACACACACACACACACACACACACACACACATACACTCACACACTAGAGTACTTTGTGAATCTTTAGAAGACTATATAAATGCCAGCTAGCTGTTATTATTTCCTCATTTGTAAAATGGGGGCAGGGGGTATATCTGCTTCAAGAGAGACATATGGGGGTCTATTGATTTCCCACTCAAACTCACAGAAGGTAGTGTGCCATAATAGGTAGAGTGCTGGGCCTCAGTTTCCTTATCTGTAAAATAAGGGAGTTGGACCCCATGGCCTCCAAGGCCCCTTCCAGTTCTAAACTGATGACTCCATGATCTGATAATGCTGACTTCTTTTACACCTTATTTCTCTGTTTTCTCTCTAGGATGTCAGCATATGTGTGCCAAACCATCCAACCTTCACTGCAGCCAGAGGCTTGTCCTCATCTTTTGCTCATGAGTGACAGGGGTGACATTGCAGGTGGGCGGTCCAGGTAAGGACTTTTGGGAAAGTAAGGGGGAGGGGCCTTTAAAGTTGCACCCCTGGGGCTAAAAGGGGCTCTGAGGATCTCTGGGCTGGCTGGGCTTCAGAGTGGGGGGGGCACTGTTTTTTGTTCCCTTCCCCCCTTCACCTGAAGTCTATCTTGGTCCTGAGGCAGGCCGGTCACAGAGTGGATTATAGTTATTGTGAATTCGCTTCTCCTAGACATTGACTTCCCCTTTCTAAATAGGTGGGCATGTGATTTTTTGTCTTTGACTACCTTGTGTGAAGAGACCTTCTCCCCACCCTTCCCCCTCAGGGTTCTGCAGGGCCCTGATATTAGTCAATCTTTTGATGTGTGGGAGAGTCAGAGGCCCACTGAGGTCATTGGGATATTCCTCAGACTGTTTGATCTTGTTCCTCAGCCCATACTTCTCTCTTTACACACACACACACACACACATGCACACACACACACACACACACACACACACACACACCTTCCAACTAGCTAAGCCAACAGCTTTCAATTTGAAGATTAATGGGTCTGAAATCAGAACCCGGGATTGTCTCCTCCCCCTCCCCCTCCTCAAGCACAGGCAGACATTTCGTTCTAGGATATAATAATATGTTGTGTTTGTGCCTTCCTTGGTCCTTAACTTGGCTCCTCTCATGTTCATGATTTCAGCGGCTCTTTATGGGGAATGATCATACCCATTGTATAGATGGGGATACTGAGGGGCTGAGAGGGGAATCCACAAAGTCTGTTTTTAAGATCATAGATTTAAAACAAAGCTAGAGAGAAAGTAGATTTTTGTAAATTAATAATTAAATTAAACCAAAAAGAAAATTAGATTAGGACCCGGGTCTTCTGACACCCCAGTTTGGGGACTCAGGATGCCTTAGTCATAAAGAAGGGGGGAAGTGGCTGACTTTTCAGAGGCTTTTAGCTTTTTTTTTGATGGGAAACTCCCCACAAGTCTCAGTGATAGGTCCTTGACTTCCCGTCTTGGAAACAAACATTTTTTCTCATCCCTGGATCTTAAGGAGGAAAAATAAAACTCTTGAGACAAAAGAGAACAGTTTTCCTTTTTCAAGCTGAGTTTTCTTCCAACTGTGAGACCCCATGATCCTGTGAAAATATGATGGAGTCTCTGTTTCCTTCCCTAGATGCTGATTGTGCCTTTCCATCACATCCCTCACAGAATCTGGGCTTTGCCTCTCTCCTGGCCTCTGGTCTAGCTTTCCTCTCCTCCACACCACTGCCTCCACAGAATGTAATGGTAATATAATTAAGATTAGCAATGATTATTATTTACAAGACAAATACACAAATATTGGTGTAGCACCTCCTCTGGGACCACATCCCCAACCCACAGTCACAGGCTGCATTTGGAGGGGGTGATTGGTGTCTTGAGATTCAAAGGGTATATTCCATGGGCTCACACTCCTAAAACTTGAGATCATGAGCCCTCACCAGTGAGTTTTCTTTAATAGTCAGCAAATAGACCCAAAGTAAAAGTATTTATTAAGATTGCATAGCAAAATCCTGGGGCACACACTCCTTAGTTTCAATGGGAAGAGTACACATTGAGGTAACATTGTATATATAGAGGAAACATGTGTCTAAGGCAACGCGTGCCTCAGGTACTGCAGAGTTCTCATGCTCCTCTATTCCTGGTCCCCTTGCTGTTTCTACCTGGAAACAGTGTAATTGCTGTGGGGGTTGCTCAGCAGAGCTCCTTGAGCCTAATTCTCTCTCAAGCTCAGGTTCCAACGACCAGGTATATTTCTCCCTTCAATCCACAGTTGACTCTCTTCTCTGCTGCCAGGGGTCATGCTCCTTGAAGCTGTTTCCTGCCTCCAACTCTCCTTGGATTACTGCAAGAACTCACGGCCCAGGGGGAGAGATGCAGAAAGACTTTCTGCCTCATTGTCCTCTGGTAGAGGCAAGGAGGTTACACTGTCTATAAAACTCCCTACATCAAACTCTTGTTTTTTAACTGTCTCCAGGGATTGGCAGGCTTAGTTTTTTGTTTTTACTTTCCCCCCGATAAACAAGCATGTATTAACTCTCCTTCCTGCCTCCCCCAATGAAAAAAATAAGCAGAACAAAACCCTTGTAACAGCTATTTGTAATCAAGCAGAAACTAATTCCTGCATTGACTATGTCCAGAAATGTATGTCTCATTTCTCGTCTCAAGCTGATCACCTCTCTGTTGATCAGTCAATCAATCAACATGCCTGCTGTATGCACTGAGCCACATGCAGTGGCTGAATGGAGGATGGATTGGAGTGGGGACAGACTTGAGGCAGGCAGACCCACCTATACCTATTGCTATAGTCCAGGAGTGAGGTGATAAGGGCCTGCACCAGAGTGATGGAAATGTGAGAAGAGGGAAGGGTGCGTATTAGAGAGATGTTGCAGACATACAATCGATGGGCCTTAGTGACTCATGGTGAATGACCTCAATTTTTTTGGTAATATGTAGGCAAAGATCTTAGCTGAGAGGCAGGGAATTAGGGGAGCCCTGGAAGGTTTGAGGAGGGATGGAAAGGTTTGGAAGAGTCACTGTGGAGAAGGAGATAGTGACTTGATAAGGGAGGCATAGTAGGATTGCTTCACAACAGTGAGGGCCCAGTTGAGGTTGTGTAATGTGTATTTGTACTGAACTCAGCCAGAACTGTTGTGTGATTTTCTCCATCTTTATTCAGCAGCATGTGTCAGCAAAGGTGACAAATGGTAGGAATGTTTCAAGGCTGATGCTTGGCAGGGCATAACCTTCAAAAATTTTAAGGGGACTAGGGACTCAGTGTAGAGTTGAATTAGTTTATTAAGGAGTCAAGATGAGGAGAAGAGGAAACAGTGAGTAGTGCAGGGAAGATGGCCTGGGAAAAAATTGAGGGGTCAAGGGATTGGAGGTTGTGGATGAAGAAGGTTTGGTAAGGTAGGGCAGAGGGAGAAGTGGAAAGCCAATAGGTTGTGGTTGGATCAGGGGATATTAGGATGTGGGTAGCATGTTACAACATGGGTCCTTTGGAATCATCGTTGAACACTGAATCAATCAGTTTTAAGTCTTTCAAACTTGTCTTTAAAATGTTGTTTTTGCATAAATTATTCTCCTGGTTCTGCTCACTTCTTTTTGCTGCAGCTCATACAAATCTCCCCAGGTTTCTCTTTTTCCTCATTTCTTACAGTGGAATAGTATTTCATTAGATTCTTACATAACAATTTACCTATTTGTCATTGTTGTTGTTCAGTTATATTCAGTGCTGTCCTACTCTTCATGACCCCATTTGGGGTTTTCGTGGCAGAGATACTGGAGTGGTTTGCTATTTCCTTCTCCAGCTCATTTTACAGATGAGGAAACTGAGGCAAACAGAATGAAGTGGCTTGCTCAGGGTTACACAGCTAGTAAATGTCTGAGGCCGGATTTGAACTCATGAAGATGAGTCTTCCTGACTCCAGTCTATCCACTATGGTGCTACCTAGCTGCCCCCATTCCCCAGTTGATGGGTACTCCTTTAGTTTCCAGTTCTTTACCACTATAAAAAGAGCTGCTATAAATATTTTTATACATATGGGAGCTTTTCTTCTTCCTTGGATCTCTTTTGGGTAGAGGCCTATTTGTGGTATTGCTGGGTCAAACACTATTCAGAGTTTAGTTACTTTTGGGGCGCTGGACCAGTTCCAAGCTCCACCAACAAAGTGTTATTGGGCCTGGTTTCCTGTAGACCCTCCAAGGTGCCGTTTTCCTTTTTGTCATCTTCGTTAATCTGATGGGTGTAGGGTGGAACTTCAGAGTTCCTTTAATTTGCATTTCTCTAATTTATCGACTCTCAAACTCTGAAGTCTCAGGATCCCTTTACACGCTTAAGAATTATTGAGGACTCTACTCCCACCCAAGAGCTTTGGTTTCTATGCTTATGTCTATTGATATTTACTGTATTATAGATTAAAATGTGTTAATATTATTATGAATAGTTTTGACCTCATGGATTTCCTGAAAGGGTTGCAGGAATCACCAAGGGTCCCCGACTCCACACTTTGAGAGCCACTGGTCTAATTACTAGTGATTTGGAACATTGTTTCCCTTCTCATTTTACCTGCACTGGTTTGGTTTTGTTTAAAGTTTTATGTCCTCAAAATTGTCCACTTTATCTCAGGCTTAGCTTTTTAAGGCTGACGAGGGGTTAATGTTAATCTTGGATCAGCCAATGCTGGCTTCCCTTTCCGTTCGATCAGAGACTCTCTCTCAAGCTGCATAAAAGGATCACAGGAGAAAAACAGTCTCTCTACTTCCTTAGTATATTAATACTTGTTTTTTTCAGTTACATGCCCCTTACTATAAACCAACTGAGTTGGGGGGTATCAAATCTTTCCCACCATGAGAGGTAATTTTTTGGGGAAAGGCACCAGCAAGTGGAGAGGTCAGGACATTCCTTCTGTGGAACATCATGGATTTAGCACAGGAAGATACTGTAGAGGTCATCTCATCCTGCCTCACCTCCTCACCCCCTTCTTATCTTCTAGAGGAGGATACTGGGGCCTGGGAGACGAGGAGTGAGTTAGCTGCCTAGTGCCTTACAGGTAGTAGGCTGCTGAGTTGGGATTAGATGATGTTATTCCAGTGGGTTTTTTCTTTCAACAAGTTCAATAAACATATAAGTGAGTGAATGGTTGAGTGAAAAAGCATTTATTAAGCTTTACTACGTCCAAGTTCTATGCTAAGCACTGGAGATACTTGTTAAAAAGGAAGCTGGTTCCTACTCTCAGTGAGCTCACACTGAGCTGAGGGCTAATGGAAAGGAACATGGTGGAACCCCCCCACTCCAGCACTGATGAGCTGGAGTGAGAGACTTGGTGAGAAAAATAGAAAGGGGAAAAAAAAGGAGAGAGAGACAGAGAGAAGGAATTCGAGAAATAAAATCGGAACACACGGTTGAGCTTTCTGCTCCCTGCCGGAGATGCTTTTAACAACCAGCAAGAAGCAGGGCAGGATGTGCTAGTGT